AATATGACTTCACCTTGTCCTGCCACAAGTAGCAGTGGGGGATGGTGCACACTCCTTGGAGTGTAATGCCCTGGGTTCTCCTTGTGCAGCACTGACACTATCCCAGTGTCTGTGACACACATGTGAAAGACAGAGCATTGAGTAAGGAATGAGACCTGCCTGGTACTGGGTGCCACAGGTCCCAGTGCTGCCTCTGTGCAGCTGAGATCCGCTACAGGGCACATGGGGCTGAGCCCTGGAAGCCGTGCTTTTTTGTTTATCTCTGGAGTACCATGCTCCCACCCCAGGGACAACAGCCCTCATGCCCAAGGAGGCTGTGGCTGTGACGGGAGGGAAGCAGCAGCCAGAGAACCTGGCTCAGGGGTTGGCATGGCTGGAGCAGAAGCTCCAACCATCCCTGTGGGAGGGCAGCTGTGACCCCAGGGCTCTCTCCCGTCAGATCATCGCTGCCCAGGAGGAGATGCTGCGCAAGGAGCGGGAGCTGGAGGAAGCGCGGAAGAAGCTGGCGATGATCCGGCAGCAGCAGTACAAGTTCCTGCCCTCGGAGCTGCGGGACGAGGAGCAGAACTGAGCCGCACGCCCTCCCGCCCACTGCACAGACTGCTGCCCGCCCGCCTGCCCGCTCCTATTTAAGACGACCCGCCTCAAGCGGAGGGCTGCTCGGGCTAGACCAGAAGCTCTGCCCACACCCACAGTTGCATGGGACTAACCAAGCTGCCCCTCAAGCTAGGCCGCCCGCACCAGCAACTCCGCTTTTGCCTGCCCAGCCCAGCCTTCCTATGCACACCCAAGGCACAATCAGAGCGCTCGGAGGGACTCGGTTGGGGTGGGAGCCGGGGCTGCACTGGCTCAGGGCTCACCTGCCAGCCCCGGGGTTTGGGCCCACAGAGCTCTCCACTGCAAGGGGATATTTACTTGTGCCTTCCTCATTCCCACTCGTGCCCCTTTCCTCTCTCTCCTCCGCGCGGGACGGGGAGCGGCAGGGGGCTGGCCCTCTCCTGTGCGATGGTGCAGGGAGCAGCATGGTCCCTCGCTGAGCTCTCGTGCGGAGCTGCCTTTCACCTCCAATGCCTTATTGTTGGCTGAACCTTCCTCTTCAGTTTCCCTGGGAGGCACGGAGGCTCCCCCACGAGCATCCTCTTCGGCCCGGGCCCCTCTGGGGTGCAGCAGGGCTGGAAGCCACAGTGCCTCTGCTCAGGATGGGGGGTGATGCGATGAGTTCACCCCCAGAGCTGTTCTCTGCCTTCCCGCGGAGCTTCTCCCCGCCCGCGGCCCCAGCCAGCTCTGCCTTCCTTCTTCCCAAGTGCCTGCATTGTTTTCCAAGATCTACAGTATTTTTGTAACTTTTCCATTTCTCTAGTATTGAGCCTGCAGCTTTCAAAGTTCATATATTTCCCTGCCAGCTTGTGCCCTGCCCACTAACACCAGCTCTTGCCGGGGTCCTGTAGCCCAGTATCCCACCCCTCCTCGGCTCTGGGACCCCCGTCCCTTTCCCTTTGCACTTGCTGAGGCTTCTCTCACTATTTTGATACTTTAAGCATCCCATATTAAACACTGAAGGAAACCAGCTCCCCCCAAGCCTCCGGGGTGGGGTGGGGGATGCCGATGTCTCCTCGGAAAGATGCATTCATCAATAAAATCTGGTTTTCCTGCATTATTGCCAGCTGGGTATGAACGAGACCCCCCAGGAGACGGGAAGAGCAGGGGGGCCACGGGCGCTTGCCCTCATAGCAAAGGCAGGGGGGAGTGTACCACGGGTGCTTATACAGCATGGAAAATATTTGAGGCACGTCCAGCCCCAGGCACCCGGCAGGCTGGACCCCCGCTGCCAGCCATGTGCCGGCCTCGCAGGTGCTGCCGGGGGGCCACCACCACAGGAGGGGGCCCTGGGGATTTTGTTTCTGGGGGATTTGGGCTTCAGGGAAGGCAGGGGGGTGGGGGAAGTATGTGTGAGTGGAGCTGGGCTTCTGGCCCCATTCCTGCTGCCAGCCGAGTATACCCCTGGGTAGGGTGCTACAGGGGTGCAGGTGGGGGACCCCCAGCCCCCAGTCACTAGTGGACCAGTCTTTGGGCCTCCACTGGCAAGGCAGAAGTCTTTGGGCCTCCACTGGCAAGGCAGCGGTCTTTGGCATGGTGTGGATCTGGGAATGTGGCTGGAGCCCTCCCGGCTGCCGGCGCTGAGCTCACGCCCCGAAATAGCCCCCCGGGGCCAACCTGTGCTGGCAGCAGCTGCCCCAGCGTGTCCCCACCTGTTCCCACCCCATCACTCAGCAGAGATTTGGGGGGCCTGTGTGGTGGCGGGGCAGGCAGGGATGCTGTGGGGTGCAGGGGGGATGTGGGCAGGGTGGCACATGTCCCCTGCCTCTGGGACCTGTTCCTGGCAGTGTGAGCCACAGGCATCATCAGTGGCAAGGGCAGCATCCTGCAGTATCTCAGCCAGTGACCCCTGTCTCCTTGTGGGCACGTCCCTGGGGGTGTGGAGGGGCTGTTCCCCACCGAGACACTCAACCCTGGCCAGGCTCCAAGGTGGATTTGTGGCTCTCACAGGCATCCCAGTCCTCCCAGCTGTCCCCTGACAATCTGTGATGGCCTGACCCGGCAACAGGCTCTCACCCAGGTACTAGCTGGGCATGGGGCCCTTCTGAGCAGCCAGCAAGGACACGGGGCACAGCATGGCAGCAGCCCCAGCCTCATCCTCACATCCTGGGGTCAAGGGAGCTCCAGCACCACCAGCACAGGGCTGCAAGGACATCCTCTGCCTTTTCCTCCAGTTTGGGTGCAAGCAAGGGGTGGTGGCACAAACACCAGGGGAGGGACATGGGGTGTGATTAACCCCCCATCCTCTAAATCTCACACATCAGTTAAGGGGTTATTTTGGTAGGCAGGTTAAGGCAAGGACATGCAGAAGTTTGGAGCTGGGATGACAGTCATGAGGTGCCAGAGCCTCTGCAGGAACCCAAATCCAGCTAAGTTGAAGGTGAATGGGGAAGCCATGTCCCAACTTCCTGGGGAGCCCAGGAATGGGGTGAGAGGCTGCAGCATGGATTGCACCTGGGAAGGTCCCATTAGTTTTCAGGACAAGCCTTTCCTTGGGAGTAAGGTCAGACTGTAGAGTGAGAAACGGAGGGTATCATCATCCTTGGAGACCTTAGCCCAGGCCAAGCCTGGGCATGGGGCAGCAATGGAAGGGATGTGCACCCACACCCCTCTGCACATTCTTGTCCCAGAGGTTACCCCAGAAGATGGGCTTAAGGGCCTCTACACCTGGATGGTTCCAGTTGTGCCATCAGACACCTGGAGCAAAAGGAAGGGGGCAGCAAGGGAAAACAGCATCCTTTGGGGGCACATCTGAGGGCTGGCCTGGCTCCAGGGCAACTTCCTGGCTGCTTGCACCATGCCCATCATTGTCTTTCTCCCATGGGCTGAGCCCACGGAGTTGCCCCAGGCTGAAACATCTCGCAGAAAACCAATTATTCTCTCCCGGGAATGATGGGAGACGGCTCTTCCTCCTCCCCTTAGAAGCCGCATGCTGGCAGTTACAGATTCTCCTTGTCCAAATATGTGCCTAATTCGTCAGTACTAATTGTTGCTCTCCAGAGTCCAGCAGTGGCTCTTCTGCTTTCCCCATGAAGCCAGCAGCCCCTTGGTCCTTAGCTGCTCCCATCCCTCCTACACCCCCTACCACCTGGGCCTGAGGGCTCCTAGAGAGCCACTTTCTCCAGCTCAAAAAATTTCTGCTCCTCTCTGCTTGGAGCACTGGTGCCGAAAAGTTGCGTCAGTCAAGGGCTGGCTGAGGCCCAGGGGCAATGGGCTGGGGGAGCCCGTGCACCCCTCATGTCCCCATCCCATCCCAGCCTCCCCACGTGCCACACAGCTCTCGTGGCCCCTCCGCCAGTTCCTTCCAGCCCCCCCCCTCCGACCCAGAGCCCACCCTGCAGCTGGGAATGTGCCAGAAGCATTTACGATCGTTATTAAAGCACAGGTTATTTTTGGAGGAGCTGGGATTTGAACGGTTTGCATTTTTTTGCCTGTGGAATACAGTTTATTTAGAGCAGAAAGACGAAGAGGGGCAGCGAGCTGCCCACATGCTCTGTGTCACCCTAAAATGCCACCCTCTGGGCTGTGCATGTGCCAGGTGTCCCTGAGAGTGCCAGGGACAGTGGCACTAAGGTGCAAGGCAGCAGGGAGGTGGGTGCCGAGAAGTCTACACAGAGCTGGGGCCCCCTTGCCCCATCAGCAGCTGGATGGGGATGTCAGGGGTTCCATTCACTTCTCTCCTGGGGGATTTTCCCCATGTGGGCAGTGCCAGTCCACTGTGTCCCTCAGTGCAATCATAGCCCATGGTTGCCCCTGAGTGCAATGACAACCTAAATATGTCCCCAAGACTTCAGTGCCTGACATTCCCAAGTGCCATGCCAGCCCTTGAGATGCCCCTAAACCGGTGCCAGCAAGCAGGATCCCTCAGGCCCCACGTTGCAGTGACCGGGCATGTGGTTACCTGTGGCAGTGTCAGCCACGTCATGTCCTCTCGCGTGGGGACTGCTTTGACCTTTGACTGGAGTCAGTGCCACCGGCATACCCCTAGCTCAGTGCCCCAGGATGTCCTTTGCCCAATGCCACTGGGGTTCCCCTGGCACAGCGCTACGGAGTGTCCCTCAGCCAGTGTCCCTGGGGTAGCACTAGGGCATCGCCCCGAAGTGTGCATCGCCCAGTGCCACCGGGGTACCCGCAGCACAGTGACCGGGGTGCCCGGCGCCGGGGCCGTGGCAATGCCCTCCGGGGGTGCTGCCCCCCCGTCCCGCTCGGTTCGAGGGCCAGTGGCGAGCCTGTCCCTAAAAGGTGCTGGCGTGAAACGGCGGGGGAGGCGCCGGGGCCGACCCTGCCAGCTCGGCCCCCTCCCCAGCTTTTAGACGGCGCGGCGTGGGCGCGGAGCGCAGCTGCCGGTGCTGCCCGCCGCTCCCGGTGCTCCCGCCGCTCCGGCTGCTCCGCGTCCCGCGCCGTCCCCGCGCCCGCCGCCGACCCACCGCCCACACCATGGAGGCCATCAAGAAGAAGATGCAGATGCTGAAACTGGACAAGGAGAACGCCATCGACCGCGCCGAGCAAGCGGAGGCTGACAAGAAGCAGGCGGAGGACCGCTGCAAGCAGGTGAGTGTCCCGCGAACTTCTCTGGCATTGCCTCGGGACCCTCTGCTCTAGGGGTGGCCAGCCCAGGGGACCCCATTCTGCTGGGTGTCCAGCCCAGAGACTCTCTGCCCTAGGGGTGTCCAGCCCTGGAGCCCCTGTCCTGCTGGATGCCCAGCCATGGGGACCCCATCCCTCTGATTGTCCAGCCTTGGGATCCTCCACCCAGCCCCAGGGACTTCCTCACAACGGTTGTCCAGCCTGGAGTCCCCTGTCCTAAGGATGTCCTGCCCCAAGCACTGTGCCCCACTGGGTGTCCTGCTTGTGGATCCCAATCTAGGGATTGCCAGCCCCAGAGACCTTACTTCACTGGGACCCCATCCCAAGGGGCCTCACCCCCTATAGGCCTGTCCCTGGGGTGCAGCACTTCAGTCCATTTTCCCTGAGCCCTCGCACTGGTCCCCCCAAACATGGCTTATCTCAGCAGGACATCCCAGTGCCACCTCCCTATTCCTGTGCCAGGGAGAACCCTGGGGACTGCAATACTCCCACCCCACTGACACGGATATAGGGACCCAGACTGGCGTTCCCCAGAGCTGTGTCCCCAAGTCAGGAGCTCTCCAGTCCCTTCACAGGGAGGGAGACCACCCCCCCTTACACCCACCAGGCTCAGGCGTGCTGGGGGGGACAAGAGCATCCCAAAGAGATGTAGATCCAAAGCTGACAGAAGGAGCATGTTCATGTTCTCCTGCTGTGCCCCCACACCCTGGGTGTCCCCAGGAGGAGGGTGGCCATCCCCTTCCAGCCTTGCAGACACCACCATCCGTCCTGACCCTTGTCCTCTGTCCTTTCCCCAGCTGGAGGAGGAACAGCAGGGCCTGCAGAAGAAACTGAAGGGCACTGAGGATGAGGTGGAGAAGTATTCCGAGTCTGTCAAGGAGGCCCAGGAGAAGTTAGAGCAGGCAGAGAAGAAAGCCACAGACGTAAGTAGGCACGCCAGCAACTCCTCCCCCGTGCGGGCGGGCGCTGGACCTCGGCGGAGGGGGCGGCGGTTAAAGAAAGAGGGGGCCCTTATATGGAAAGCGTCCGAGGGGAAGACTGTCAGGATCCCATTCCTGCGATGCTGACACCGAACCGGGCTGATGGGTCCTGTGAGGGGTGCAGGGGCCAGGCCAGCTGTGGTGGGCAGCGCTGGAGGGGCTGATCCTGTCTGGAGCTTTGTGGGCAGCTGACAGCCTGGCTCCCCGAAGCTAATGGGGACAAGTGTCCAGAGCTGTGTCACAGGTCCCCAGGCACGCACCTCCACAATGCTCTTAGGAGAACTGTGGGGCTTAACAGGCAGTGGCAGAGCAGGGAAATGGTCAAATCTCTTACTGTGCTTAGCTGCTGAGTGCTGGCTGCAAGGAAAAATGTTTGGAGTGCATGGAAGGGGACTTTGGGTGGGATGCGGGTGCGTGGATTTGGGGTCCAACGTGCCACCTTGTACCCTGGGAAGGGCAAGGCCAGGAAGAGTTTTATTTAGTGCCATGACTGATGTCTCTCCTGGGAAATAGATCCCTCTGGGGAGATGTTAGGAAGGTGTTGAAATTGGCTTGTGCCTGGCCAGGATGAAGGGTGGAACAGCTGTGTGCGGCCACGGGGCCGCTCAGGAATGGGGTATAACGACCTGTGGTGCCACACAGGGTATTTGACACCCTATAAATAAATCCTCCTTTTGATAGTCAGCCCTTCTTTGATGAAAACTAACCCTGGAAACTGGAGGAGAAGCTAAAGGAGAGCCATTTGGAGCACAGCCAGCAGGGCATGGCCAGGCTTTTTAGGATTGAGAAAAAAAAATTCAATCCCAACTGGTTTATGGAGCTAAATGAGGGAGATGTGTCAAATCTCTGAGGGGGACACTGAGGATAGGGTTGACCAGACAAGGACAAGCAGCGGCAACATAAATCCCTGTGGCAGCCCAGAGCCCCTGGGCAGTGGCCAGGGGGTCCCCCAGACTTGTTTACTGATCCAACAGACCTGCCCTGGTTTAATTAGATACTTAACAAAGTAGTTAAAACATCAAAAATCCTCTGAAAGGGCACATTTATCCTGGAATGGGGCAGGCATGCCAAGCTGGTCAGGGTGGCTGCTGTGTGCAGTGGGGTTCACACTGGTCTGATTGGATCTGTGCTGATGTGGGACAGGGCAAACTCAGTGTGGCTGAGAGTGGATGGGACGTTTCCAGTGTGAAACTCCGAGGAAGGGGCAAACGGTGGCACTGGGCAGATGTCAGCTATGGGATGCAGAGTGATTTGCTGCTGACAATGCCATCCTGGGTGGGGAAGGTGTGTTTCCCTGCTCTTGGTCCACAGTGGCTGGGCAAGTCTGTGGGCTTTGACATGGAGAATCCCATACCAGCAGATACAGCAGACAGAAGCCACCAAACACTTCAGGGAAGGGCCAGAGCAGGAGCCATGGTGAAGGAACAGTGTCAGGCTGCAGGCTGGCTGCAGCAGGACTGAGGCTCTATCACCAGCACAGCCACCCCAGGTCCATGCCAAAGCCTAGACTGGCTGTACCATGTGTGGGGCTCTGGGAGTTACCAGGTCCACGTGCCAGGGACCTGGATGTGCTGACAGCCCTTAAGTGCCAAGGCTGGTGTCATCTCCTCCCTGGTGCGAGGTGCAGAACAGCTCCTGGCTTCAGCAAGGAAGCACCCCGTGGCTGCTAGGATAGTGCTTGCCTGTGTCTCCATCGCTTGGCCAGGTCAGGGCCCACACCAGTGATCCAGACAGCCTCCTGCCCTTGGCTAAAAGGTCAATGCCTTAAAAGAATAAACACCTGCCCCATTCCAGCACTGTCCTGGCACTGGATGACAGCGCATAAAGGCCATGGGGATTGCACTAAGGAGTGCAAATATGATGCCCCAGGCACTTGAAGAGGGGGCAGATGGTGCCACAGAGCAGGGAGTGCCTGACTCCTGATCAGCGACTCCACAGTGCTGACAGCGCCTTCCCAGCAGCTCTGCAAGGCCACTGTGGTCCCATCACCTCTTGTACCCAAGAGGGACAGCCCATGGTGCCCAGGTCAAGATGTGGGCAAGGGCTGTTGGACACAGTACAGCTGAGACAGCGGGTTTAGCCAAAACAGCTCCCTCCATCCCCCCACATCCCCGGCAGTGGCCTGTCCCCAGCCACCTCAGAGGAGCCTAGGGAAACTCCAGCGTTCCCAGGCCATGATCCCAAAAGCTTCATCCATGTTCCCGCCCCAGCTGCACTCCCCGGCCAAGACTTTGCTCTTATTTGGTGATTCCCCGAGCTGGTGGGAGGGAACGGGACTCTGCTGGGAAGTGACTGCATCTCGGGGTGGGGCCACAGCAGGAGGCACCTAGCCTGGCCACTGCGGGACCAGAATGGCCGCCCCCCAGTCTGTCCCCCACATGCCTGCAGCCAGCTCATCCCTGCCCCACTGCTGCCAGGAATCCTTGTTTCTGCTCTGGGCCCCATGCCCCAGCTTGGGAGCACTCTTGGCACCCAGGCATCAGACTGGGAATGGGGCAGGATCAGCTGGGCCCAAGGCCAAACCCATGGCCAAGCCCAAGGCCTTGTGCTCCTAGGGGACCCACAGCATTGCCTCTTCCAGTGCTGGTTGGCAAGGGGACACAGAGCTGCAGAACACAGACAGCAGTGTGGCTGGGTCACCCCCAGGACCCCTGGCCCTGGAGCTGATGGCAGCTGGTGGGGTCATCCTGGGAACTGACATCCCTGGAGGCAGGTGTGAAGTGCAGTAAGGGCTGCCTGGGAGCTGTCAGAGCTTCTTAAGGGAGGATTGAGTGCCAGCCAGGCTTTTCCTGATGGATCAAGACATGTGCCCCAGCCGGGATGGAATGTCAGGAGCTGGGGGACTGGCCTGACCTAGAGGACACAGCCCCTAGGGCAGCTGGGTTGTGCAGGGGGCTCCATGTGCCCCATGGAACTCTGTAGGGTTGCCAGCCAGGTCCTCACTTGAAGAAGCAGATGCCAAGGGACTGAATGAGATGGATGTTGGGGACCTGGCTGCAGCCCCAGGTACTGCTGGAGGACACCCTGGAGCAGGCTCTGCTTCATACCTCTTATTGACTTTCTACAGGGAAAAGTCTATGACCCTCCTCAGCTCTGCAGCAAGAAGTGCAGAGGGCAGCACTTTGGGAGCACTCATGGATACGCTGCTCCTGTGGCTGCGTGGCCTCGAGGATCAGGCTCCAGCACCCACAGACTCTCTGGACTCTTGGAAATATTTGAATCCATTTTCCTGGGGTCCTCTCCATCGCTCTGGGGGATTTCAGTGGGACTGTACATCCCTGACAGGGGAGCACCATACACCCGGGGCACGGAGGGGACTGCGTACCTGCCTTGGGGGCCACTGTGTGCCCTCCCTGGGTGTACCATGTGTCCTGCCAGTGGGAATTATGCATCTGCCTGGGAGGATGTGTGCTGACTCCGGCTGAGGGGACAGTGCGCTCTGTGTAGAAGCCGCTGTGCATCTCGCCTGGGTGAGGGGCGTGACCCCTGCTGGGGAGGACCACGCGTCCTGCCTGAGGGTCCTCCTTATGTCCTGCTTGGGATGAGGGGCCCTGCGCACCCCTCCCGTTGTGGGAACTGTCCCCTGCCGGGGGTGGGCACTGCGCGTCCTGCCCGGGGGAGCGGCACTGCAGGTCGGTCGGAGACAGCAGCAGGAGAACGAGGAGGAGGAGGAGCAGGAAGGGATGGAGGCAGGGCGGGCGGCGGGAGCGGCCGCTGCCTGAGCGCTTCCTGCCCGAGAAGGGCGGATCCCACAAAGGGCTCGGCGGTGTGGCCTCCCCGCCGGCAGCCCCCGCCATGGCCAGCGCCAGCTCTATCGATGCCGTCAAGAAGAAGATCCAGAGCCTGCAGCAGGTGGCCGACGAGGCGGAGGAACGCGCCGAGCACCTGCAGCGGGAGTACCATATCGAGCGGCAGGCCCGGGAGCGGGTAAGGGCCGCCGGGATGAAAAGGGGGCGCGGCGGAGCGGGGGGCGCCCCGGCGGCTCCCCGGGATGCCCCGGCGGCTCCGGMCCCGCTGCCAGCATCCCTCCCGGCGGGCTGGCCCTGGCCCCCCGCGCCCCTCGCCCCGGTAGCCGGGCTGGCTGCCCGCGGAGCGGAGCGGAGCGCAGGGCGGTTTCGGGGGAGCCGACGGGAGCTGCAACCCAGCTGGCGAGAGCCCCCGGGGCAGGGGGCTTGGGGCAGCCTCCTCCAGCCGCCTCCCTCCTCCGTGGTTCTTGCGCCAGAGAGATGCTGCTTGCCGGGTTCCCCGGGGCTTCCCGGCTGGCGGGGCGCTGGGAGCGGCAGCGGCAAGCCCTGCCTTGGCTCTTCCTGGGATCGGGCGCATCCTGGGAAAGGATCCACTCCCTCGCAGGCTGGCGTGCACAGCTCAGAATCCCATGCCCAGGATCTTGTCTAGCTTCCAGCGGGCTTTGCGGTCCGGGCCGCGGCAGTCGGAGAGCCTTTATCTCTCTAGCCTGTCCCTTCGTGGGGACAAACCATCCCTTCACACAACCACTCTGGCAACGGGATGACATTCCCAAAAGTCAGCTTGTTCGTGGTTTGGCTTTTTAGTTGTTGAGGCTTTTTATTTTCTTCCTTTCTTTCTGTTTCCTATGCCCACTCTTTCTACATTCTCACCATATCAGGAGCGGCAGAGCTGGGTGCGGTACCCAGGTTGTTGTCACTCGGGCTGTGTGCGGAGGAAATGGCCCCTTCCTGCAGCCACAGATCGGGTTCCCCGGTCTAGGAGCTGCTGGAGAGCTCATGTTCCCCAGTGTCCATCCGGGCAGCTCTGACCCACTTTGGGGGTGATTCCCTGGGAAAAAAAGGCTCCCGACGAGGTGAGGCTGATGATGCAGGCAGAGCATCGCCCTGCGGGGGCCAGTCCCAGTTCCCCAATGGGCAGTCTGGCAAGGGAACAGCTCTCAGAAAGCCCAGAAAAAAGGTTGTTCATGGGGCGGAGGTGACTGTTGTACCAGCTGTGGGGCTGGCTGCCCTCTCAGAGAGGTGCTGGCTGCGCCTGTCCCCACCCTGCTGCCTCCTCACAGGGGATCGAGGGTGCTCAGTGGGGCTGTGCAGGGTGACTGCAGAGTGACAGCCCCTCGCTGCTCCCGTGGTCCCTCTGCTTGGCTAATGTCCCCCAGGGCATTCCCAGGCTGGAGCATGAGGCTGGATGGAGCTGGGCACTGCAGCCGGCCAGTCCTGCTCCAGCCTGTGTATAAGCAGGAGACATTATCCCCTGTGTTGGTGCATGGGGCTGCTCCCCATGGTGAGGTCTCATTGCCACCCATCCCTTTTGTATCCGGATGAGGTCTTCCTTGCACTATCCCCCCCACTCGGTGGGAAGCGGAGCTGAGAGCTGCTGAGGCAGCGTTTCCCGACTGTGGCGATGGAGCTGGAGGCCTTTACCAACTGGAAAGAGTGCGAGGCCAGGCGTCAAGGGACTGGCAGAGGGCCAGGGCCACTGCTCCTGGCCAGCCCCAGCTCCCAGCTCTGTGCGTGGGGAGCCTGGGAAAGGGAGGGCTCTGGTCCAGTGGGTCCTGCCAGCCGCATCTTGGCCGGGTGCCAGCCTGCCGAGGGCGACTCGCTCCACTGCCCCCGGCGCTGTGCTGTACATCAGCTGAGGGGGCTCCGTGCTGGATTCAGGCTGTCCTGTTGCACAGGGCCATGGGGGTTCCCGCAGGAGAAGCTCCCAGCTCGGTCTGCCACCTCTGTAAACAGGAAATCCTCAAGCGGCTCCCGATCTCCTTTTCGGGAGCGAAGCCGCACAGGGCATTCCTCCCCCTGAACTCACTTTTCTGCAAACCCCAAATACCGTCCCTGTGACGGCATGGCTGCCACAGCCACCCTACCCCAGGGACACATGGCCTGTCTCTCCCCAGGGCAGGAGCCGGACATGCAAGGACCTGGTGGAGGGGCTGCACGTGCCAGGCTGGGGTTGCAAGGCTGGGAGAAGCACTAGGGATGGGGATAACTCTGTTGTCCCTATGGAAAGGCAAGGGGATGCATGCCCAGCCATCCCATTCCAGTGCGTGCTGGCTTGTTGCACAGTGCCAAGGGGGTGTTTCGGATTGTAAATGCAGAACTAACCACTGAAAATGCTTTTAAAAGTATATATATACATATTTGTGTGTGTATGTGTGACATGGAATGACTGAGGAGTTTCTGCTCCCCCAGGCTGAGGCTGAAGTGGCTTCCTCAACCGCCGTATCCAGCTGGTAGAGGAGGAGCTGGACCGAGCCCAGGAGCGCCTGGCCACCGCCCTGCAGAAGCTGGAGGAGGCTGAGAAGGCAGCTGATGAGAGCGAGAGGTGTGATGGGAAAGGACAGTGGGGGTGGTATCAGGTGGGGGTATTGACTGCAAGCAGCCTGCTTAGTTTTGCAGTGAGGTCCCTCTGAAAGGACCTCATGTGGTTTATGTTGGTTTTCCTGCAGACTCCAAAGGGAGAGAGCAAAGCCACAATGCAAAGAAGTCCTCCAGGCACAGGCGTTCCTAAAAAGACTGAAATTTCCAGAGCATAAAATCCTGATAAAATTTACCTGGTATTTATGAAAACACCAGACTGTACCCGAAGACAGAGGAAGCTAGGAACATATTTTCTTACCCAGAGCAGCCTCCTGTGCTCAGGGTCTCAACAACAGCCCAGGAGGCAACATCTGTGCCTGGGAACTAAGTTCAGATTTGACAACAAAACAGCCTAATTCAAAAGCAGTGCTACAAAGTGTGGGTTGTCCCATCCTTATGGCAAGCAGGTTTCCCGGACAGGAGCTGTGCAGGCAAGGGCACTCAGGTTTGTGGGAGTGCCTGGACACGTCACAGTGTTCCAGACAATGATGTGAGCTCTTCCCTCCATTGGCAAAGACTAGTTTGAGCAACAGCATCTGAGTGAGAGGAGAAGAGTCTGCAGGACTCCCTTCTGTGGGGGTTCACAGGGTTTGGTAACCCTGTTTGTGAACATCACCCGGAATGAGAAAGGCTTTGCCACAGGATGTTCTCTAGCATTTCCTAAAGGCTGCTGGCCTGTCAGGCTGTTTTTGTGGAGGTTGTGGCTGGCTCATCTTCAGCTGCACACTTTTTCACCCCTACAGATTGGGTTCAGGACCTGCCTGATTGAGGGCCACCACAGCCACATGTCCTCACTCTGGGGCATAGCCCTGGAGTCAGCTCCACTGTAATTGTGCACAGGAGCATTTTTAGGGTACTGCTAGTGACCCTACTGTGTGGGTGGCCAGCAAGTGCCAAGCAATGTCCTATGTCTCTGGAGGATGGTGAGGTTAGGGTACAGTGGACAGGCAAGATGTGCGGATGCCACCTTGACCCACGGCAGTAACATCTTTTGGCTTGGTCTTTCCTCAGAGGCATGAAGGTCATTGAAAACAGGGCCATGAAAGATGAGGAGAAAATGGAGCTCCAGGAAATGCAGCTGAAGGAGGCAAAGCACATAGCGGAGGAGGCTGACCGCAAATATGAGGAGGTGCATACCCCCTTCCCCAGTCCTGACCCCCTGGCAGCACCCAGAGCCACCTCCTCGCAGCCCTGTGCCCCCAGCTGGGGCAAGCACAGGGCCAACATATGCCTCTTTCTCCCATCAACAGGTCGCCCGCAAGCTGGTGGTCCTTGAGGGAGAGCTGGAGCGCTCAGAGGAGAGGGCAGAGGTGGCAGAGAGGTGAGCAGGGCTCCCGGCAGGCAGTGTGCAGGGGTCCCACACAGCCCTTGCCCCAAATCCCTGGCAGCATGGGGATGGGGATGACCCTCCTTGGGAGTGTCAGGGCCTGGCATTGGGGTGGTCCTTGGGATTGTAGGCTGGGGGCAGGGGGGTGCCAACCTACCAGCATCACATCCTTGACCCTGTTCTCTGCTGTCCCCCCACCCCGGGGTGCCCCTCTTTCACCCCAGCCGAATGAGACAGTTGGAAGAAGAGCTGCGGACCATGGACCAGTCTCTCAAATCCCTCATTGCCTCAGAGGAAGAGGTACTGGGGCAGGGGTGCGGGGCGATGTGCAGCAGCCCCCCTCTCTCTGTCGCTGTCTCTCGAACCATGCGAGCCACCTCTCTCTTCTGCACCACTGCCTCTACCACTGGCCTCCCCTCACCTCCCTCTCCAGCAGGTGCAGGCTGGGCACGCTCCTCCATCCCTCCATCCCTGCTTCCCTTGGCAGGGCCGGTGAGAGCCCGGCTGGTGGTAATGCACGAGGTGTCCGTGCAAGGAAGCACAAGGAATGGATGAACAGATGCGTCCTGGCAGCTCCTGCTCGCAGCGGCTCTGCTCCTTGTCCACGTGCACTGAGTCTTCTCCTCTCTCAACTTGTTTTCTCTCTTTCTTTCTTGCTACCCTGTGCCCGTTCTTTCTGCTCCTGCTCTTCTCCTGCCCTCTGGCCCTGCTCCCCCCCTCCTGCCGGCCCTGCTTGGGATGTAGTAAATGTGGTGACCTAGAGGAGGAGCTGAAAATTGTCACCAACAACTTGAAGTCCCTGGAGGCCCAGGCTGACAAGGTAGGACCCAGTGAGGCTGTTGAGGCTGGGTGGAGTGCGTGGGGTGTGGGGGTGCTGTGATCTCCTGCTAGAGTGAAGGACAGATGAAGGTTTCCCCTGGGGCTCACAGGTGCCTGTCTCTGTCTCTGCAGTACTCTACCAAGGAGGACAAGTACGAGGAGGAAATCAAGCTTCTAGGGGAAAAACTGAAGGAGGTAAGGAGTATAGGGCTGCCACTGCATCAGTGCAGGCATGAGTTTGCCACCCTGAGTGGATTTTGACCCCTTTATGCCTATGTCCTCTCACAGTTTCCCAAACTGCAGCTCTGCAGCATAGCAGGTGCCTGGGTCTGGGATGCCCCTCTATGAATCTGTTCTGGTTTAGGGTGTGAGGCTCCATGGGGCCTTTGACTTTTCTTGTCCATTGCCTTTACCAGAGGAGCGCTTGTGGAGAAGGGTACCAGAGATGCAAATGGGGCAGATTTTGAGTGCAGTGCAGCCTGCACCGCCCCTGCGGTGCCCTGCAGCTCACCCTCTCCCCACTGTGCTTCCCACAGGCTGAGACCCGGGCGGAGTTTGCAGAGAGGTCTGTGGCGAAGCTGGAGAAAACCATTGATGACCTAGAAGGTAAAATGTCCCCGCCAGCCCTGTGTTCCTCTTTCCCAGGGCATCACTTGGCCACATTGTGCCCCTGGTGGGGCTGGATAGGGCTTGGCCAGGGTGAGGGGGTGGGTAGGGGTTCAGGGAGGTGGGAGGCTGGATGCCATGGTGTCTGGTGCAGGAGTGCAGAGCTGGGGTGTGGGCTCTGCCCTTGGGTGGGGAATGGGGTCACATCTATGCCGCCTGTGCCTGCATGCTCCTGCTGCCCTCAGCCCGCCGCTCACAGCCACTCTCTCTCTCCACCTTGTGCCCCCCACTCTGCTCCACCATCTGCCCCCTGCCTGCTCCCACCTGCAGATGAAGTGTATGCGCAGAAGATGAAGTACAAAGCCATCAGCGAGGAGCTGGACAATGCACTTAATGACATCACCTCCCTCTGAGCCCCCTGCTGGGCACCAGCACTGCACCCCTTCCCCACCTGCCTCTCCCCTCCCCAGCTTAGCTACTTGCCTGCCTGACCGTCCCACCTCTCTCCCCACCCTCTCTGTCCTCCTCTGTCCTTCCTAGCCTGTGCCTGTCCGTCGGCTCCTTTGGGACAGGAGCCGGCCCAGGGTGTTCCCGCTGTACCCCTCTTTGGGGAGACAAGATGTAGGTGCTTAGAACTGTTTGGTCAGGGCAGGCCAGCAGCTCCATGGAGTCCTACATGCTGGCTGAATAGTGCCTGTGTAGCAGGTCTGTGCCATGGTATTGCCCAACAGGGATCAGGGCTGTGCCTAGAAGCCTTTTGCTCCAGCACCTCCCTCCTTGGCTCCCCAGCAGCAGAAGCACTGGGGACCCTGCAGCTCCGGGGATGGGGGGCCATCTCCCCCCCACATACTCCCAGCAAAGCCCCTCGGTGCTGCTTGCTGGCCCCAGGATGGGGATGACCTGCATTGGGGAAGCGGCACCTCCACTGCCAAAGCTCAGGCCTGGGGGATAGAGGGTTGGGCCCGACTGTGCAGTCACCTCCTTCCCTGGCAGGCAGGCAACCCCCAGCTCCTCCCTCACCCCGCCTTCTGTCCTTTGCACATCGCTCTTCAGTTTGCATCTCATGACTTTTCTTTAATGTTCTGTCCCTTTGGTTTAATGAGTTGGTTTCAATAAAATTTCAACATTGGTTTCTCCTTTGTTTTCTTCATGCCACTCTATCCCTCATCTCCTGCCTGTCTCACGTGGGTCCTGTCAGCGGTGTGGTAGGAGGTGGTTGCAGGCAGCTCGCGGGACCCCCGGGGTAACCATGGCTGAGACCCGAGAGGCTCCTGCACTGCCAGGCTGAGTGGAACAGGGCCCTTTGTGCTGACCCCAGTCACCCTCTGGCTCTCATACACAGCTTTCCTCATCTCATGCCATCTTCTCCATGACTCTTTTGGAGGGAAACACGAGGGTTAGACCTGGTCCTCTCCATTCGCTGTCTCCACTCCCAGACATTTCCTGCAAGCAGCAATCTCAGCCCTGTTATGTGTCCTGCATCACCTTCCCTTGGTGAAAGAGCTGGTGCTACCCTTCAGCAGTGATCTCTTGTGATCCCTAAATTTGTCCTTGATACCCCTCCTCTTTCCTCACCACCATACTGTGCCCCAGAATCCAGTTCTCAAATTGACGGATCTACAGACCTGTCCCTGCGCCAGTACTCCTCCTGCCAGTCCAGCTGGTCTCTGCTGCTAGCTGGGCAGCTGTGGTGTTTCCACTGAGGGCTTTGGGGAATGCTGTCTCTTTTCACTAACTCGCTTTTTTCTCTCTCTTTCCTGTGCTGCGTTGACGTCTCCATTTTCTCTAGAGCGCTCTCAGCAGGAGGCCGAGAAAAACCGTGTTCTCACTAACGAGCTGCGGGTCATCCTTACTGAACTTAACAACTGAGCTGCCCAGAGCTCCTGGCCCCGGCCCAGCCTCCCTGCCCTGTTTTGGCCAGGCTGGCTCAGGGCTGGGAGCCCCTACCTGCTCCCCACTGGTGCAAGGCGAGGTGTGAAACCTTGGCTAATCCTCACAGGGGTAACTACCCTGCGTGGGGGGGGACAGGAAGCCCCTCTGGAGCCTGATTGTTTTTTTTGTGGGAGAGGAATAAGGTTTTTTTGATGGACTGGGGTGCCCACTTGGTGATGGCTGTCCTCTGGCATCAGCCTGGCTCTGCCAGGGAGGGAGGTGGTGGTTTGTATCGCTGCTTTCCTCCCCTTGTCCCAGGAGTTGATGGGCAGCCTCTTCCTCCTCACTCTGGTCACCCCAAAATGTGCAAGGAAGATCCTCTCAGAAAGGGGTCCCTGCAGGGTGCCAGGATCGCTGGGATAGGAGCTGGGGACCCAGCAGCACCCACTGACCCAAACTTGGGGCAAAGGACAGGGAAGAGACCAGCAGGGTGCACTGGGAGATGGGGCTGGGTAGGCAGAGCTCTTGTTCCATCCCCATCTCGGGGGAAGGAGGATGCCATTTGGCAGTGAACACCAGAGGAGGCTGCCTTGGCAGCGGGCTGCCTGGCAGAGCTCATCCCTGTAGCCTTGTTAGCTCGGCTCCTTATCTTTCTGTTATCGTCTCTGCCTGCCCTCCCAGGCTGTTATGAGGTTGTTGTCTCACTCCTTTTCTTCCCGGAGCACTGCTGGGTCATGCAGCAGGCACTGGCTCTCCGCTTTCACTGGCAAAGGGTTTGTGCATGTGCCCACAGCCAGCCAGTGCTGACGCCTTGGGGCTGGCCAAGTAATGGTCCTCACCGGCGGCACGTGCGCTGCAGAGGGCTCAGCCATGGGCCACGGGCACCGTGGGAAGATGGAAATGCTGAAGAGCAGCAACTGCCTGCCCCAGTGACCAGCCCTGACTGGCCTGGGTGCCCTGGCAGGTCCCAGAGCGGCTGGACTCATCCCTGCCGGAGATGGGGTGGTTTGTGTGGACTCTGCTCCACCAGGAATGCCCCATCCGGCTGGAGGCCACTGCTGTACTGAAATGTCTGTCTGTGTGCGTGTGTCTGTGCTTGGTGTGGTGTGTGTGGGTCCGGCTGCACCTGGGTACCCTTGGGTTGTGTCTGTGTGTGTGTGTCTGGGTGTCCCTTGCATTCACAGAGAGCCTGGCCAGTGCCAAAGAGGAGAACGTGGGCATCCATCAGGTCCTGGACCAGACCTTGTTGGAGCTGAACAACCTCTGAGCTGCCCTGGAGAGCCCCCATCCCTCTTCCCTACCCAACACGTGCACCTCACTGGCATGCTCAGGACATCATCAGCTGAACTGCATCTTGGCCAAATCCACACATCCATTGAGAAGGGAAGCCCTGCAGCCTTACAACATGGCTCAGGGACATCTTGTCTGTGCACAGCCTGACTGGCTCTGTCCTGTCTTCATGTCCAAATATTAAAGCAGTTTGACAAGATGGCTGGCTGCATTTGGTCCTTGTGGGCGGGCACAGGCACTGGGAGGTGGGGTGGGGGTCTCCCTGCCCAGTTCGTGCAAGGAGGCTCTGCAGGGGCCCAAGTCCACGGCCAGCATATGGATATTCTCTGTGGCTGTGGGGGGCTCAGAATGATAACATGGCTGTGTTTCCTCACTTCCATCACTTCCTTGGAATGCAGAGGAAACCTCTGCATCTCAAGCTCAGTCTAAATTCATCATCCTCTTCAAGTAGAGAGTGATAGACTATGTCACTGGCATGCCCCCTTCCACATTCTGCTTGCTATCTACTTGGCACCTGGGGAAGCCACAAGGTCTTTGACCTGTCCGTGGAGTCTGCTTCAGGATTCCTGTGTATGACACTGAGGAAACATACAAACACATGACCATGCATGCACATGTTATTAGTTATTGGGGTCTGCTCCATGTCTGGGATTAGCTGCTCACCCTGTGTAGCAGTTGCATTTTCTATTACCCTTGACTGAGGGATAGCTGTATAAGCTAGCAAACATCAATGCAGCAGACAACCACTTCCCAAAGTGTTCAGGAAGTTTCCTCCTGGCTTGCTATATTTTCTCCAACACAAATTGAAGAGAAGCCAGATGTGTCTCATCGCTGTCACCAAAACAGGCTGGATTTCCTGGGGATGCCCAAAGTCATGATCTAGTCCTGCCCTTCGCTTTGGGCCCCTCCATGATGTGTGCCAAGCCCTGTTGTCCCACGGCACCCAACGGATATCCCTCTAAAAGCACAGCCACATACTGACAGGAAACACAATTCATGCTGACCCCTTGTCAAGCCAGGCCATCGCCCCAGCGAGCGACCGCCAGGGATAGCTTTTGTTATCTGCTTTCCTTTATTTGCTGAGCCTCTCAGCTCAGGAAAGGAGGGTGGTGAGATCGCATCTCTTTCCTGCCCAGGTGCTGCTGGCCTCCTGCCCTCTCCCTGGCCCAGCAGTTTTGTGGTTCCAAGTCCTTCTCCAACAGGTAAAAAAGCTCCCTGCGCATTGGGTGCTCGTTTTCTGTTCATCCTCCAAAGGGTGCAAGGCCTGTCATGAGCTGCAGCCTCCCACCCTGGACCTGGGCAAGCAGGAGGGGAGGACAGTACACACTGTCTTGGACTGCTGAGCTGTTCCTGTGCAAAGGCTGGAGCTCCTCCCTGGGTCCACCTTGTTTTCTTGCAGTGCATCAGCTGAGCCACTCTGTTGTTTAGTCAAAGCACCTTCCAGGTAGGGGATTGTCTGGTTCCAAAAAGAACCAGAGTGTAAAATCACCTTTTCTCTGGAAGCCTGCACCCTGTGCTGCAAACAAGCCTGCCCTGTGCTCTGGTCAGGGTGCGTCCTGGTGCCCAGCCTCTGTCGCCTTCCTGCTGGGACAAAGAGCCCTTTCACACCCACTGTTTTTTCCCCATTAGCTGCTGCTGCCTCCTGGTTTGTACCAGTCCATCTGACTTAACCATTTACAACCCTCTGCAAGGGCTTTTTTGTTCCTTTGAACTGTCTGTGGTTTGGCAATAATATCCTGATATCTGTTCCCAGGTGATGCTCTGCCCGGGAAAGACATGAGCCATTTCGTGGTTCAGCAAAGCTTTGCCCTTCCTCCATTCTTCCACCCATCTCCTTCCCCCACATGGCCCTGCAGAGAGAGAAGGCAGCCAGGGAAAGCCCTGGGAGGCTGGGGAACCGTGGAGCAGCTGGCATGGGAGCTCGACCTAGAGGCATGTCCCCCATGTGCCACAGGCCCACGCTGAGGACTGAAGCGCCTGTCCTCTCCTCTCTTCCTCTATCTGCACATCTCCCACTGAATTTCAACCTTTGGATTTGTTTCTCTTGGCCTGACAGACTGAACATCTCCCCAAAGAGCTTTCAGCCCTGTCATGGGCTGCCACCCCATTGATAAACCACCCCATTAACCTCTGGCAGCCTTTCACCTCTGCCCTCTGCCCCAGTTTTCTTGCCTCTCTGGCGTCTCATTTCATCTCCAAATCCTTCCTGTTCAATATCCTTGAACTACACGCTGGAGGGGGAGGACCAGACAAAGAATGTCTGAGATATTTTGATATGTTGAGCTGTGCAGAGCCAGGCACAGACCACTGTCACCCCTCAGTCCCTCCCTGCATTTACAGCTTGAGAGATTGGGGTGAGGTCCAGAAGAGCCACGTTGTCGAGCTGTGCAGGGTTTGTTGCAAGGCTCTGGGGGTTTTCAAAACAGGTCAGGCAGCCTGAAGCCAAGTGTCACACAAATCCCCCTTCTCCCTGTTCCCAGATTGATATTAGGGACTTCTCAATGCCAGCAGAGGACAAGGCAGCTGGAGGGAAACATGGACACCAAAACCACGTGGTGCTGTCTCATTTCCATATGAGTTATGAATGCCCCACATGCAGTGCTTGGTACTGCACTACACACTGGGGCTGTGCTGCCTGTGAGGGAGTGTGCAGTGAAGGAGGATGTGGAGCCCCTGCTCCACATGCTCAGGGGGGGTTGGGACCAGCACTGGAGCACCCCTGCAGCAAGACAAGCCTATAGCAGGGTGACAGGCAGCAAGGGACCCTTGGGGAGCATTCATTGTATTGGTTTAGTAGTTGCTGGCCTCAATGTTGATTACTTGTCTTTCAGAGCAAAAGTAAATAAAAAGCACCTGTTCTCAGGGTTCTGTTATGTGATGCCTTTCTTGCAGGATGTCTTCTCTATGTTGATGTTTATTGTCCTTGTGGACTGGGCTAGGATCACCATCTTGGTGCACTTCACAAATGATTTCCTCTGGGCCAGGTGGTCTGACTCTGAGCTGTTTTGCAAAGAAGTTATGAAACCTTAGGCAAACTTGTGCCCCATTTCCTCCTCTGGGATCCCTTTTGCCAGGGCATGACTTGGCCCTGCAAACCCCAGCGATCCAGCCAAATGCCAGTAGTGTCCCTGGAGCGAAGATCCAGCCTCCAACTTGCTGGCTGCAAGGGCCAAGGAGTGGGCTGGAGGGGCAGTGCCCCAGGGTTTTCCCAGGTTCAGGAGAGCCCTCTGTGTGCCACACTGGAGTGCTCTGCTGCGGATTGTGCCTCTCAGGAGCAGGGCCATGAGTATTTCATGAATAGATGCTTTGAGCCCCAGACCCCTCAGAAGCTTTGAGCCTGGCTGCAGGTGTGCCGAGACAGGCACGGGGGCCAGTTCAGCACCTGCAGAACTCGACATCCAATGCACTTGTCCGAAGTCTTCTGGGGGAAGAAAGCGTGTTGCATGAGGGTGTGGGTGTCAGTAAGTGGGAGTGGGTCCCGAAGTCCCTTTCTTTGTCAAGTCTCCTTTGGGTTGAACACACAAGTGGAGGGAACACAGACTCACAGAGCCACTGAGGCTGGGACAGCCTGCACACCCCAGCCCTGGTCCCTGGGTGGCCGTGGGGACAAGGCCAAGCTCCCCGGGTACAGACTGTGTTCCCACACAATCACAGGATGCCCCGAGCTGGAAAGGACCCACGGGGACCATCAAACTCCAGCTCCTGCCTCCTGCACGGGACACCCCCAACAATCCCACCACGTGCCCGGGAGCGTTCTCCAAACGCTCCTTGCGCTCTGTCAGGCTTAGCGCTGCGACCCCTTCCCCGGGGAGCCTCTTCCAGCGCCAGACCCAGCTCCGCGCTCAGCACCTTCTCCCGATATCCCACATTCCCGCCCGCGCGCCGTGACGTCACCATCTGATCCCGCCCACCGCTGTCAGGCCACGCCCCTCCCGGCGCGGCCCCTGTGGCCGCTTCCGGCGCGCGGGCGCGCCGCAGCCGTGACGTCACTGGCCCCGGAAGGGCGGCGGAGGGGGAAGGGCCGCCGGGCCCGTCCGGACCGAGCTCCGCGTCCCGTGTGTCCCGGCCCCGTGTCCCGCCGACATGACGCTCGCCGTCTTCTTCGGGTGCACCTTCATCGCCTTCGGGCCCGCCTTCGGCCTCTTCCTCTTCACCATCGCCCGCGATCCGCTCCGCATCATCATCCTCATCGCCGGGTCAGTCCCGTGGTGGGGGCGCTGACGCTGCTGTGGGGGCTGATGTGGGGCCAGGATCGGTGCCGGGAGCGGTGTGGGGATCACGGGGCACAGGGACCAGTGCTGGTGCTGGTACCAGTACGGGTGTGACAGGGGTGCTGGTACCAGTATGGGAGTGAAAGGGGTGGTGGTACCAGTGTGGATGTGACAGGAGCACTGGTACCAGTGTGGATGTGACAGGGGCACTGGTACCAGTGTGGATGTGACAGGAGCACTGGTACCAGTGTGGATGTGACAGGAGCACTGGTACCAGTGTGGATGTGACAGGAGCACTGGTACCAGTGTGGATGTGACAGGAGCACTGGTACCAGTGTGGATGTGACAGGAGCACTGGTACCAGTACAAGTGTGACAGGGGTGCTGGAACCAGTACAGGTGTGACAGAGGTGCTGGTACCAGTGTGGGTGTGACAGGGATACTGGTGCCAGGATGGGTGTGACAGGGGCACTGGTACGAGTGTGGGTGTGACAGGGTGATGGTCCCAGTGCCTGTACACGACCAGTATGGTCCTGATGGGGCACTGGTACCACTGCTGGTGCTGATACAACATGGGTGTGATGGGGGCACTGGTACCACTGCTGGTAGTGGTACCAGTATGGGTGTGATGGGGTGCTGGGACCAGTGCTGGTGCTGGTGCCATATGGGTGTGACAGAGGTACCAGTATGGATGGTACCAGTATGGATGGTACCAGTATGGATGTGATGGGTGCTGGTAGCATGAGGGGCATGAGGCATGTGACTGGTACTGGCTGAGGCACCCTCATGGGACAGTACCTGTGCTGCTGTGGCTCAGTGGGGTCACCAGTATTCATGCTGGTGCTGTTCTTTGCATGACAGGAGCACCAACATTGTTTCTCTTACTGTCACAGCCATCGGTACATCATGGACACCAGTACCTATAATACCAGTACCAGTGGAGGGTTGGGAGTGGTACTGGTGCGTGTGTGCAGCTGGGGCACTGGCACCAGTATCGCTGGGACCAATAGGGTGTGGTACTGCTGCTGGCATGAATATGATCCTGGCACAGGTGCTGGTACTGCTTTGAGCACAATAGGGGCACTGGTGCCAGTTCTGGTGAGTGGTGGAGCAGGAATGCAGGCACAGCACAGCATTGGGACCAGTACAGGCACCACCTGCCCGGCACTGGGACCAGAACAGCGCTGGTGCTGGTGGGAGAGCAGGCAAGGCTGGGGCACAGCTACCATGCCAGTACCAGCACAGCGGGGTGCAGGATGGTCCTGATGGCCCCGGCATAGCCCCAGTGCCAGCAGGCTCTGTCTCTTGCAGGGCTTTCTTCTGGCTGGTGTCGCTGCTGCTCTCGTCCCTCATCTGGTTTATCGCAGTGAAAGCCAGCGACCCGCGGGATGAGCGGCTGCAGAAGGGGCTCCTGATATTTGGGGTGATGTTTTCTGTGCTGCTGCAGGAGGCCTTCCGCTTCCTTTACTACAAGCTCCTCAGGTAATGGCGTCTCCCCTGCTGTGCCAGTGCTGCTGGATGGTGGTCCTGGCCGTGGAGGGTGTCACATGTTGTCTGGGAGCTCCTGGGCTGGGGGCGATGTCACATGTGGCACCAGTCATCTCGGTGCTCTCTGGGAGTGCATGGGTGGCACCTGTTCTGATGTGTTGACCTCAGTGGGTCTCAGGTAGTGGAGCAGAGCAGCCCTAAGGTCTGGAGGACCTGGTGCCCGGACCAGCCCGGGGCACAGTCTCAGTGCAGCCTCGGCAGCTCCCGGCCTCCAGGGTGCCACTTGCTTGGAGTGCAGGGTTTGTGCTGCCAGCTGAGCACGTGCTGCACCCTGTCCTGTGTGTGGACAGATGGACAGACACTGTGCTGGGGCTGTGCAGACAGGCATGGGCAGGTAGTGCTGGGGTCAGCATCCCTCATAACCCCCAGCTTTCCCGGGTGGAAGCTGGGAGCAGGCCAGGGGAGCCGGGGCTCGCAGTGCTCCCTGCGGCAGGGCACTGTTGGAGGCAGGCAGGCAGAGGGTAGCAGTGCTCCACGGAGCAGCCTCTGACACAAACCACTGCTTGTGGATCTCCAGATCTAAACTCTGCTGCCCTCCCCGGGCTGAGGAGCTGTCTGATGTGCTCACCCGCCACACCTCTAGCTGATAAAAATTATGAAGCCTCTCCCAGTTTCTCTCCCCAAAGAATTTTTCCAGCTCCTTCCTTGTTTGTCAACATCTTTCTTGGAGTATAAATGCAGAGATCAGGTGCAGCCTCCCTTGCCTGCACTGGAGCTGCTTTCCATGTGGGGGTGCTGCTGCTTACCTTACACCCGATGTCCTGCTCACCCCAGCCCTGCTCTGCTGGGCTGGCTGGCACCCACATTCCTCTGTGGAAAATCTTTCTGTGTGGCTTCACGTGGTGTTCACATGTCTGGTTTGCCTGGTGGTACAAGTCACACGGATGTTCTCCGTGGTGGATGTTGCAGCTCGAGGTGGGGAGGTTACCAGGAGGATGACATAGTACAGACTGAGTACTGCACCATGCCTCAGGAGATGGCTGGGCTGTGTTGGGCTCCACTGTGCTCTCACCCCACAGGAAGGCTATCGAGGGGCTGGTGGCCCTCAGTGAGGACGGCTGCTCCCCCATTTCCATCCAGCAAATGGCATATGGTGAGTGCTGTGCAGAGCAGGGCACCCTGACCGCAGGGCTGGGCGTGGTGCTGGGAGCAAAGGGAGATTTCTCATGCCAGAGCTGGCTGGGAGGTGCCTGGCGTGGCCCCTAGGAGGCTCAGGGCTTGACAGTGTCCCTGTCCTGGCAGTGGCTGGCGTGGGCTTTGGTCTCATGAGCGGCGCCTTCTCCATGATCAACCTGCTGGCGGATGCGTTAGGGCCTGGCACTGTGGGCATCCATGGGGATTCGCAGCTGTACTTCTTGACCTCAGGTGAGTGACTGGCAGCCTTTGCTCATGTCTCTGCCCCACTGCAGAGGCAGCAGAGCCAGGGGGGATGAAGTTTTCCCTCCATGCTGTCCTCTCCATGCTACACCCTCACCCATCTGAGCCCCTGTCACATCTGTTTGTGCCAAACCCTTCTTTCTGTCCCCTGTGACCCTCCCTGCTCTTCTCTCCCATCTCTCCTCGAGTGTGGGAGAGATGCTTTAGCTCCTCCCAGTCTAGCCCAACATTATCTCTACTTCCCCATCGTTCCCCAAGCCTGCAGGCCAGGTTAGGGTGGGCAATTCCCTGATGACACCTCTCTGTGCTCCCTGCAGCTTTTATGACCATGGTGCTGATTTTCCTTCACACCTTCTGGGGGATCCTCTTCTTCCATGGCTGTGAGCATCGGCGCTGGTGGGAGATCGCGGCGGTCATTGTCATGCACCTCATTGTTTCGGGGTCGGTGAGTAACTGGGAGCAGAGCTCTGCACCAGGACCTGTATTTGGGGTACTGGTCCCCATGCTGGGGGGAAACAATCTTTGGCACTAGCGAAGCAGCTGGCCCTTCACAAACCAAATCCTGGAGTTGGTGTCCTCTGTCCCACTGCACTCGTTGAGGCGGCGACACTGCCACACATCCTATCCCTCCCCCTCTCCTGCCTGCTCACCCTTCTCTTCTCCTGCCTCTCTCCGCAGTCATTTTGCAACCCCCTGTATGTGGGCAGCCTGGTGCCCTCCTACATGCTGATGGCTGCTGCCGCTGCCTGGGCTTACCTACTGTCGGGGGGATCTGCGCAGAACCTGCGGCGCTTCCTGCTCTGTAAGTCCTGCTCCGTAAAGGGCATAGGGACACCGTGGGTCCTGCTGGGTACCAGGACTCATGCTGGGATGGCAGGAGGTTGTCCCTGTGGCTGGAACAAGGACATCATCCCCTTGTCTCCCAGACAAGGAGAAGCAAGTGGTTTTTGGGGCCACAGTCAGGTTGTTGCCTCTCCTGGGAGAAGTGGAGTCAAGTGTTTGGTGAAAACTGACCCCTTCTCCTCTCGGTTCCTGCAGGTTTACGGAGCGGAGCCAGCCCCCAGCCAGGATCCTGAGGCCCTGCAGGATGTTCCTGTCCCCAGCCACCCCTGCCCTCCCCTCCTATCCTGGTGGCAGGATCAGCCATCACCTTCTCTGCAATATCTTTTCTCCTGGACTCGGGGACCCTGGCCAGTCCCAGCAGGGCAGGCGCTGGGGTCCGGCTGTGGCAGCCAACCTACCAAACAACCAGTGTGGCTGGGACTGGCTCACTCCAATGCCCCTTTGGGAGCCCCCGTAGAACAGCTCAGTTTTGGGGGGCCTGACTCCACTGGCCCTGCCGTGTGCTCAGCCCCAGTTAGCTTGCCTGTGAAGGATGCTACCTTGGACTGCTGGAGTCTTGAGCCCAAAGAAACCCATCGCTTCTCCCCCCGCCGCCGCAGGCGTGGTGCCCCCCGTACCCGGGCGGGGCGCCCGCATTGCCTCCTTGCTGCAGGGTGGAGGAAGGGGCTTTGCAAAGTGCTGCCGTGCTCTGGCTCACGGCTGACCCTTGTGGGGCTCCTTTCTCCACCTCTTTGCCCAGTCTTGCTACCGCAGGAGCCACGGCCCAGGCGCTCACCTGTGGTAGCGCAGTGAGCTGGTATCTTGGTACAGCAGGATGGTGCTGGGGGACCCAGGGGTACTGAGAGCTCACAGGGTGGGAGGAGAACGGGGAGAAGGCAGTATCCAAAGGGCCCAGTGGACATGGAGGGTGGTGGAGGGCTTGGGAGGAGATGCAATGCCACAGCTGTTGCCGGCACAGATTTGGGAGAGGGTTCAAGGGACCATTCCAATGGATCATTGCCCTCTCCTGTTCTTGGGGATTTTCAGGCGGGTACCAGCCCTGATTCTGTGCCACAGGGCTGGGAGGGAGAAACTGCCATCGGGCTGAGAAGGCAGTTTTATCCATAGTGGGCTTTTATACCAATAAAATTAAGTACCACAGAGAAGTGAGTGCTGTGTGTGGCCATCGGCACTGCCCGTGTGGGGAGGGTACAAGCAGTGGTGCCAGTGGCTTATGCTGGTGTGACTCAGGGAGAATGGTCTGGCAATTGCAGGCCTCATGTGCCTGGAGGGCTTGCTCCTGCTCTGTTCATCCTAACAGGGGTTAGGCTCTAGGTTTACAACTTTGAGATGGAGGCTGCTGAGGGCTGGAGTCTACAGGTTCCTCTCCTCTCCCAGGCCTTGGTTTTGCTACTTGAGCCACCACAGAAGGTGGGAGGTAGCCCTGAATCTGGGGCTACTGTGGCTAATCTAGCTCTGATAGAGCTGGAGGTGATCTGGGTGGGGGCTGTCCAGCAAGCAAGCAGTGGCTCTGCCACCTGCAGCTCTGCCTTTCTCCAGCCCTACCAAGCTGTAGCTGTGTTTTTCCAATGCTTTGCACAAATAAGAGGAGGAAGAAGTCCCAGAGTGATGGAGGGCAGGGCTGGGCTGTACAAGAAGCCTTGTGCTGCTTACTCTGGAGCTCTGCCCAGCGCACAGAGGCTGATGCTGTCTCTGCTGGTTGGGAAGGGGTCCCTGCATACCCTTCTCCACTGTGGATCCAGCTACACCAGGGTGCTCTTTCCTGCCCCACAGCTTCTCACAAGAACAGCAGAGAGGTCTGGTACCATGGGTGGCTTTTACTTTGTTTTTTCCTTTTTTAATAGTTTTTACCTTTTTTATAACAAAAATATCTGTTGGGGTCAAATGCTTCCCCAGGCAAACAGTCCATGTGGGCAGCCTGTGCAGCCAAGGGATGCTGGAGCACTGGTTCATCCTTGGCCCGGGGTGAGAGTGAGGGGAGGTGGGGTGGCAGCTGAACCGGTGGAGCTGGCACTGCCACAGAGGTGTGGAGTTTACGCAGTGTTCTCGGTGCTGGCTGCGGTGTAAATGACTTTGGACTTGGTTGGTGAGTCCAGCCTGGTGGGGTAAGAAAGAGGGGGAGAGTGTTAGACCAGGCAGAAGGTCTTACTGCCTGAGACCACCCTTAAGCCCCCTTCTCATGCCCTGGACCAAGGCCCCCTTCTGCATGTCCCCATGTCTCACCGTGCATTCTGGCTGCGGTGCTTGTAGATGTACAGCAGGAAGGCCAGTGCTGTGACAGCAAAGAGCACCCCGAAGAGCACGGCCAGCACATCCCCTACAAGCCAAGCAGAGCCATGTTACACTGGGAATGGTCCCCAGCAGCTACTGTCTGAGTGAGACGAGGCAGAGAGCAGGCTGGTGGCCCCAAGGCAGAGAGGGCACAAAGGAGCAGCCTCGACTGAGCACACTTACCTGCATGAAATGAGCTGGAGTGTCCTTCTGCAAAGGAGACAAAGACCAGAGGGTGAGAACCAGCAGCACGGATGCGAGCTCTGCCCTGCAAAACCCACTGTGGCTGCCTGCGCCCCAGCTCAGAACATGGCTTCCAGGACCCCAATTCCCAGGCAGGTACACCCCCTGTCCACCTTCTCCTCCTTTGTACCAGCCCCTCACCTACCTGCTGTTGCTGCTGAACCGTCACTACCTGTAAGAGAGACAGTACAGTCAGGAGGTTGCTCCAGGTGTTCGGGGAGGAAGTGTCAAGCCTGCAGGCCTTCGGGCCCCACTGCCAAAGCAGGGCTGCCTGAAAGACTCCCCATCACCCATGAGCAGGCCGGGGACAGCTGCCTGCAGCATCCCCAGGAGCTCACAGCATCTTGCTGCAGGAATCCCAGCCCTGACACCCTGGCACAGAAGCATCAAGGGAAGGATAGAAAAAAGGATCTCTGAATCACAGCCCACACAGAAGCTTCGCTGAGCTCAGCCAGAAGCCTCCCCCCACCATTGCTGTTTCCACCAGCTAGGAAACACAGGCAGGGTGCCGAGCACTGCAGCACCCCATGACTCTACCAAACCCCACAGGAGACCCTGGAGAGGGACATGGGGTGAGCCCAGCAGGCGGTGACCATGGGGACAGTTGCCTGTGGCTGGATGGACAGCTCCCCCTGAGGAGGAGGCAGCCGTCCATTGCGGGCAGGGCACCAGCATGGGGATGGTTTAGTGGCTCTACATGCAGGGAGGGAGCTGTGCCGGGCAAATATTTACCCAGCGTAAGAGCATAACTTTTAAAGAGCTGCACAGTCATCTGTACACGGCTCGGGTATCGCGCGCAGAGTGGCACTATCTGCGGGTTGTATCCAACTGCGGGAAAGCCACCACCTTCACCCAGCTCCCAGGGGCAGGAGCGGTTATCCTGAACTGGGAATGACAACAAGCATGGGCGCAGAAGGTGCAGCTGCAAGCAAAATGAGACGTGACCCCCCAGCACTCCACCTCAGTCTCACTGGCCCCAGGGGTAAAGCAGGCAGTTAGCACTGACGTGGGGAGAAAGCCCCAGCAATCCTGTGCACTCAAGACAGGGGATCAGTGACCTCATCCAGAAGTACTGGGACATTGCCCTGGCAGTTCAGGAACAAGGGCTTTGTGGCTTTGTTGTAGTGGGGATTTTTGGATAGGAATAGCAAATAAGGAAAAGGAAAAAAAAAAAAGGTAGAGCTAGGCAACTCCTCCCTTGCCCCAGCATGGGCACCTGGAGGTTTTGAACAGCTTCTGCAAGAAAGTAGTAAAAGAAAGGCTTGGAGGTAAATGGAAAATATGATAAAGTATCTAACAGGTTTACCAAAGATAGAGCGTGCCAGCCTAACCCGATATCCTTCTTTGATAAGTGATATTCTAGACAAAGAAAATGCGGTAGATTTTATCTCTCCTGGCTTCAGTGAAGCATTGGATGCAGTGCCACATGGGAAACTGCTAGCCAGGCTGAAGACCACAGTGATTAAAAGCCTACAGCCATCAGCAAGCTGGCTGTAGGTGGAATGGTGAGGGAAGTGCCTTGCACCACACTGTGTGGTTACTGAGGCCTGGGACAAAGCCTGTGTGCTGTTCCTATTAGTCAGCTCGACACAAGGTGCAGGAAATGCCACCAAAACAGAAAAGAACAGGATGTTGAACAGAAAAACCCCTGTGACCTCAGGGAACAGCAACGGGTAAAAATTCATTGATGCAGTGCGATAGTCACACCTGAGGATTAAGAGTAAATTCTACTCATTCCTGGAAACCACCAATGCAAGAAAAGCCTTCAAGGACAAACTGAGGACAGGCAGACAGGGCTGCCTCAGGCAGGGGACTGTGTGCCTGGTTGGGATGTCTGTGTGGCCCCACTGGCAGATTGCAGCCTTCAGGAGGGGTCTCCAGCACTGCCCTTCCTGCAGGGTTTGGATGAAGGGTGCTTGCTGCAAGTTTGTGCCACCAACAGCTCCTACTGAATTTATCTGTTGCATTTGGGACTGAAGGAGCTAGCTGGGATGCTAGGACCTGGATGTTTGCTCTTGAACATACATCCCCTAGTCCTCCTACTGTTACGTCTGCAAGACTAAGGATAAACTAAGTTCCTAGAAACAATCTTTCCCTGGTAGGGTGAAAGAAGTGCAGGAACAGAGGAGAGCAGGACCCCAAGACCACTGCTGGGCAGGTCTAACCCAGGCAAATGCTGCACTTTTGTAAGAGGCACAAAGCACTGATTCCTGCTCCTTGCCCCGTCTCTGCACCCCTGCAGCTGGGCACAGCCTGAGCACGCTCACACACTCCTTACCAGGAGTGTGCTTCTGTGAAGGCAGGGTGGTCTGGAAACTGGCCAGCACCCATCGCCCGTGCAGGTCCTGCACTGGCCGGTAATTGTTCTGCAGGAGATCGCTGTCATCAGTCCTCAGGCTGCTCACCAGGATTGACATCTGGAAGGAGAACAGTGTGAGCAGAGCAGCATCCATCCCCCCTTTGGGAGCCAGATGAGCTGCAGGGCACCAGCACAGATGGTGCACGCTTGCAGGGAGAGGCTGGGCAAGACCTAGTGTGGAGCTCATTGCCCTGACAGACCTGGTCACGAGAGAGCTTCATGGTCTGGTTGAAGATTGTCCACTTCACCGTCTGGTAGCAGGGAGGGGTGGTCAGAGAGCCATTGTAGTGGAAGTAGAGTTTCAGGTTGTCAGGCAGTAGACCTGCAATGTTGAATCCGGACACCAACACTTGCTGCCCTGGGAGAAGAAACACCATAGGAGTGACCTGCAATCCTTTGCAGGACAACAGCATGGAGATCATGGGCAGCCCGGCACTGTGTGTGCCACTGGAGAAAGAGCAGTGAGTTTCCCCTGGAGGCATGTGGGAGCAGAGGGCACCTTGGAGCACTGCTTCCATAGGAGCGGTGCAATGCTCCCCTTCTCATGTACACACAGCAAATGCCTGCTGCAGCTTCGCTCTGCCAGGCAGTGGGTTTCTCTGCAGGGCTGCAGCCCCTGAGACAAGCACTACATGGGACAGGGCCTTACCTACTCCTTCGACTTCGTGGAGATGCTCAAGTATCTCCTGATAGTATGGGTTCTCACTTGGCCCAACCTGCAACACAGAGACTCCACAGTTATGGCAAGGACAGGGGCTGAAGGGAGACCACCCAGTGATGGCAGTGCCAGCAAGGAGGTGTCACTCTCTGTGAGAGGCAGCTTATCCCCATGACCCCTTCATTCTATCAGCACTGCTCTGCCCTCTCTCTCCCCTTCTTCCAAGGTGCATTTGCATCTTTGACAGTCCTCAAAACTGTGCCCAGCTCTGCCACCCCAGCCCCACCTTCCCCCTGCTGATCTATGGGACTCACCTCCAGAAAGGCTCCCAGTACAGCCAGGCCATCTGGGCGAACCATTGCCTCCTTAAAGCTGTCATACTTGGTGTTGTAGTGGACCACGTGGATCTGAAAGGGAAACATGCAATCCTAATGTAGGATGGGCACCGATGGGAGATGCTCACCACTCACAGGGCTCCAGCCTTCTAAAGCAAGGGCTGGGAAAGATGTGCACATGTGACAAGCACCCCTCCTGGGAAGAGAAAATGCTGGTGAGACCAAGGAAATGCGCTGCTGCAAAGCAGCCAGCAGGAGGGTCTGCTTGCAGGAACTTCC